GACAATGTCTGGAGCCACCCATTTTCCTCAGAATTTCAGAGAGAAATGCACTGTAATCAGCATGTACAACATTTCCTGCCTTCCTTCCTTAAATAAGGGCAATAATTGCCACCTGTTTTTCAAAGAATGAATGACCTCACTAATAGAACTCCACACTGCTATTATTTTGAACACGCCCCTTTCAATGAGTGATTCAATGACACAGAATCAGCAGCATGCATGTCATGACTGTTGGGTCTGTTGGATTTCGATTACTCTACTACACCTGCTAGTAAATTATTTGCCATGTAGAAATATCATTTCTACCAAAAACGGTGATTGATCCGGTTAGTGATGTCTGACTGCTATTATTTTGAACACAACTGCATGTCATTGTAAACATTAATTGATATTGGAGCATTTAATATTACTTTAAGACTTGCTATATAGGCAAAATCTGTACCCACATCTGTATGGTTGCTTAGCACCATAGAATCGCCAGTCATGAATTAGAAATTGAAACATTATACATTATGTTGGTGCTACACTATGACGTCATAGAACAAGGCATACAGTATAGATATTTATCAAATTTTAAATCGGGGAAGAGTGAAACACCACACACATCAAAGATCACAGATGGGCACAGTTGTTATAGGACTACATGATCTAAGAGCTATTGCACATTTCTCAGTGGTAGAGGTGAGGAATGCAGAAATGGTGCAAATGAGCTTCCTTATGGGCATGACTGGGCCAGGGGCGGACTGACAACTCATGGGGCCCCCGGGCAATAGGGGATCATGGGGCCCCTGTGTCCTTGCCCAAACTCAAAAAAGCCTATGAAAAAGGTACAAGGGGCATCTCATGGGGCCCCCTCCTGACCCCGGGCCCTCGAGCAGTGCCCGAGTTTCCAAATGGTCAGTCCGCCCCTCGACTGGGCACATCGTTTCTCACAACATACCACAGTATTGCTTCTTTATTAGGCACCTACCATGCACACGGGGCGTTTTAATAATGCTGGTAGCGTTAGCTGTGTAAAGTCACATTAAAAAAAGCGAGTTTTTCAGCGTTTTGTAGTGTTTTTGCATTAGCGTTTAGCCACATTTTGCGCTGTTTGCATTTTTTTTTGCTAAAAAAAAAAGTCCAAAAACACCGGTTTGCCATATATTTCAGTGTTTACTGTCATCAACGGTTTTTGGCTGGGACTAGTGAGTTTCTAGAGGAGGTTTTTAGCTGTAAAAATGCTCTAACAATGAAAAACGCAGCAGAACGCCGCAAACCGGCGTTTTTTTAACCAAAAAAAACCTGCTAAACACTAAAAACTGCAAACGTGGGAAAACGGCTCTAATCGCGTCAAAACGCCACTAAACACTAATGCAAAAATGCTAACAAAAAGCTGAAAAACTCAAGTTTTTAGCGTGACTTTACACAGGTAACGTTACCAAAACGCCCAGTGTGCCTGGAGCCTTACAGCTAAAAAACTCCTCTAAAACACACTAGTTATGGGGTTTTTTTCCAGCCAAAAAATGCTGATTTCAGCCTGTGTGTGCATGGAGACATAGGATAACATGCTGGGGAGTTTACTGGCTACCAAAAACAGCCGCTGTAAAAATGACCGGTGTGCTTACAGAGGACTTACACTGCCAGCATGCTAGTGTTGTAGCTTCTAGATCAGTGGTTCTCAACCTTCCTAATGCCGTGACCCTTTAACCACTTGCCTACCGGGCACTTATACCCCCTTCCTTACCAGGCCAATTTTCAGCTTTCAGCGCTGCCGCACTTTGATTGACAATTGCGCGGTCATGCAACATTGTACCCATATGAAATTTTGATCATTTTTTTCTCACAAATAGAGCTTTCTTTTGGTGGTATTTAATCGCCACTGGGCGCTTTACTTTTTGCGCTATAAAAAAAATGCTAAAAATTTGAAAAAAAAAAAAAGTTTCTTTGTTTCTATTATAAAATTTTTCAAACAGGTATTTTTTCTCCTTCACTGATGTGCGTTGATGAGGCAGCACTGATGGGCACTGATAGGCGGCACTGATGGGCACTGATAGGCAGCACTAAAGGGCACTGATAGGCAGTACTAATGAGGTGGCACGGATAGGCGGCACTGATAGACAGCACTAATGAGGTGTCACGGATAGGCGGCACTAATATGCAGCACTGATAGGCGGCACTGATAGGTGACACTGATGATGGGTACTGATAAACGGCACTGACTGGCATCACTGCTGGGCACTGACTGGCGGCACTGACTGGCACAACCCCTGGGCACTGACTGGTGGCACTGACTGGCAGCACTGCTGGGCTGCACTGGTGGGTGGCACTGGTGGGCAGCACTGGTGGGTGGGCACAGGTGGGTGGCACTGGTGGGCACAGGTGGGTGGCACTGCTGGGCACAGGTAGGTGGCACTTCTGGGCACAGGTGTGTGACACTGCAGAGTGGCACAGGTGGGTGCACTGCTGGGCACAGGTGGGTGCACTGCTGGGCACAGGTGGGTGATCTGCTGGGCACATGTGGGCGGAGCTAGTGGGCGCACTGCTGGGCACAGGTGGGCGGAACTTGCGGGTGGCACTGCTGGGCACTGATCATCAGGGCACTGATCATCAGTGCCCTGATGATCGGTGCCGATCCCCGCTCTGACAACTGCCGGTTCTCTGCAGTACTTTCCTCACGATCTGACAGCGTGAGGAAAGTGCAGCCGAGAACCGGCACTTGCATTTCCCTCTGATCAGCGTGTCATTGGACACCGCTGATCAAGTGGTAAAAGGCCGCTGTGATTGGCCTTTTACCACATCACGTGATCAGCTGTGTCCGTAGGACACAGCGATCACGGAGATCGCCGGGTGCGCGCCCCCTGGGGCGCGCAGGAGAGCGCGTTCTGGGAGGACGTCATATGACGTTCCACTCAGAACTGGCCGGCCGCAGTGCAGCCGTCATTCGGCTATCTGCGGTCGACAGGTAGTTAATACAGTTCCTCATGTCGTGGTGACCCCCAACCATAAAATTATTTAGCCAGTAATTATAATTCATGAGTGTTGTTTTACCTCCAATACTGCTGCTTTCAGCACAGTAGCTGCTTTTAACAGAGTAGCTGCTTTCAACACAGAAGCTGCTTTCTACACAGTAGCTGCTCTTTACACATCGGAAAATATGTGTTTTCTGATGGTCTTAGGGGACCCCTGTGAAAGGGTCATTCGACCCCCAAAGAGGTTGCGACCCACAGGTTGAGAACCACTGTTCTAGATGCTGGTGGTGTATCTTTGATGGCCCTGCTACACAGGAAGAGGATGCAACAAATCCAGCTTCACATAGCCCAGAATTAAATGACACCTATTTCATTGCAGAGTACTTTGTAGCCACACAGTAAAGAGGGAAGGGGGACAAAATGAAAGAACTCCATTATTATAAAACCAGAATCACATGCATGAAGGAGCATCTATAAAGGTGGGATTGGGATTGTGCTTTTAAAAACAAAGATTGGTTTTTACCATTTCCACTCTACAACATAAATTGTTTCATTGTTGTTTGTGTCCCTGGCGGAGAATGTTTTCCCCACTTCCAGTCTTACAGACAGTCTTACAGTCTTTCACTGCTGTTTGTTTCACTGTTCGAGAAAAGTCCCCCAATTACAGTTTTATAGGCATCTGTTACTGGAACAGGACATAAGGGGAAATTCCCCCCTGCAAGAAGGTTTCTAACTGGGACTTCTGGAAGGTGACCAAGCCATATTGCTTAACCCCCCTGGCGGTATTCCCGAGTGTAGCTCGGGGTAAAGTTTCAGTACCAAAAGCGGTAACCCCCCCGAGCTACACTCGGGCTTACCATGCAGCGCTACATAGGGATTCCCTGCAGCACTTACCTTGTCCTTCGCTCCCACGATGTGTCCCCTGCAGCTTCCCCGGCCATCTCCTCCAGCTGATGCCGGCATCCGGCTTCTGTGTTTCGGTCCCTGTGACGTCGGGACGTACGGGCGCCGGAACCGGCGGCAAATTTGAAATTTTTAAAAAATTACATTTTTTTAAAAATGATTATTACATAGTATAACATTGCTGTTTCAACCCATTTCACATACATTGTGTCCCGAGTGCTTTGTCCGGCGCCCTGCCTGCATTTTGACTGTTCTTTCTGCCTGGAAACTTAGAAAAGTCCATGGCGTCAAAAAAGCGTCCCTTTACGTCAAAAGCGGTTTTAGACCGGCTAGAGAACAGCGATAGTAAATCAGAACCACTTGCAGAATTGAGTGATAATGATTCGTGGGGGAAATTCATCATCAGACACTGAAAACGATTTTGCGACTTTGCTCAGCGATGTGCGAATTTGCCTCTGTATTTCAAATTTCAGTGTTTTTGGTTTGATTATATTATTGAATTAAATTTATTATTATTATATTATTATTTTTTATGATTATTTATTAAATTATAATTTATGATTTCGTGTTTCAAATTTTATCATATCCGGGATGTTTACTAGACTCTTGTTCGGACAGATTTCAGTGAGTTATTCCTAAAAATTACAGCCTACAATAAAAAACTACATATTTCCATTCAAAATAATGGTACCGCTTTCAGCACAAAAAATCGGAAAGAATCAGACCGCCGAGGAGGTTAATGCCCAACTCCAGCAAAAATGTTTACTTGTTTTGGATAGAACAGGGACTGATTAAATCCTCTGCAGAGTTTGTTGCTGTCTATATCCACTTACTTGCTAAAAGGATAAGAAATCATCTGTAATAAGAAATGTCTCTAACAGGGACAAAAAAAAAGAAAAACTCATTTTTAGAAGAGCAGAGATGGGTTTGAATGCCTGACTGCTTTTATTGCTCCTTGCACTCTCCTGTCCTGACGAAAGCTGCAACCATCAGATATTGTATTGGCTTCACACTGGCAGGAAGTAAGTGACAAATTCCCCAATGGGGTCATAGATAGAAACTTTAACTCGTCATCATTATATTCGAAGCAGAAAAAAAAATTGACTGGATTTAGGCTTTAAACGTCAGTAAAAGTAAGGTCCCAACCAGGGGTGGACTGACAACTCATGGGGCCCCCGGGCAATAGGGGATCATGGGGCCCCTGTGTCCTTGCCCAAACTCAAAAAAGCCTATGAAAAAGGTACCAGGGGCATCTCATGGGGCCCCGTACTGACCCCAAGCCCTCAATAGGGGATCGTGGGGCCCCTGTGTCCTTGCCCAAACTCAAAAAAGCCTATGAAAAAGGTACCAGGGGCATCTCATGGGGCCCCCTACTGACCCCGGGCCCTCGGGCAGCGCCCGAGTTTCCAAATGGTCAGTCCGCCCCTGCCCAGAAGTACAAGGTGTTCAGTGCTCAAAGACATGGCCAAGGTAAGGAGGGTTGAAACCTGACCACCACTGAACAAGACACATAAGATGAAATATAAAGACTGAGCAAAGAAATATCTGAAGAAAGATTTTTTTAAAGGTTTTATGGAGTGATGAGATGAGAGTGACTCTTGATGAACCAGGTGGATGGGCCTGTGGCTGGATCAGTAACGGGCACAGAGCCCCACTTTGACTTAGACACCAGCACGGTGGAGGTGGAGTACTGGTATATGCTGGTATTATTAAAGATGAGCTAGTTGGACCTTTTTGGGTTGAAGATGGACTCAAAATCAACTCCTGAACCTACTGCCAGTTTTTAGAAGACACTTTCGTCAAAGCAGTGATACAAGAAAAAGTCTGCATCTTTCAAGAAGACCATAATATTTATGCAGGACAATGCTCCATTTCATCCACTGTGTGGCTAGCCAGTAAAGGCCTTCGAGATGAAAGAAGAATGACATGACCCCTCTTCCTCACATGACCTAAACCCTATTGAGAATTTGTGGGCCCTTCTTAAATGGGAAATGTACGGTGAAGGAAAACAGTACACCTCTCTGAACAGTGTCTGGGAGGCTGTGGTTGCTGCTGCACAAAAAGTTGATCGCCAACAGATTAAGAAACTGGCAGACTCCATGAATGGAAGGCTTATGACTGTTATTGAAAAGAAAGGTGGCTATATTGACCACTGATTTTTTTTTTTAAATGTCAGAAATGTTTATATGTAAATTTTGAGTTGCTTGTTTATTATTCTCACTTTAACAGATGAAAATAAACAAGTGATACCTCTGAGGATGCCCAGTAGGAGGGGTGAAATGCATCAGCTGCGGACCGTGGTGATGTCATTTCCGGTGATTGGAGTGAACAGCAGTGTGTTGCTTCCTAAGCTGGCGTTTTATGCTGTTTATTCTCTTGAAACGTGTGAGTGCAATATACAGTATGTTAATATATTTTTTATGTAATAAATGTAATTACCGTATTTTCCGGCGTATAAGACGACTTTTTACCCCTTGAAAATCTTCTCAAAAGTCGGGGGTCATCTTATACGGCGGTATGCGGCATACTGACACTTTTTAGGGGGGCGGCGCGGTGCCGCCGCCGCCCCCCCCCTTCCAACGGAAGGAACACTAAGTACAGGGATGGGCAGGGGCTGCTGTTTCTTACCTGGCTCCGGTCCCACGACGATCCGGTCCAGGAAGCGCGGCTGCTCCTTCATTCAGTTCGGCCACTGGATGTTCGTGCGGGTGCTCGGCTCCGCCTCCTCACCGGTGATTGGCCGCCAGAACTGTAGCTCAGGAAAGGCACACAGGCGGCCAATCACCGGCGAGGAGGTGGAGCCGAGCGGCCCCCGCGAAAATCGAGTGAAGGAGCGGCCAGTAAGTGTGCCGTGTAGAGGTGCTGCTGCAACCACATATGCTGGCTGCAGCAGCACCATACTAGAACAGGGGTCAGCAAGTGTAATTGGTGTCAGTGGGAGGAATAGTGCCCCATCATTGGTGTCACTGATACCAATGATGGGGCATTATTCCTCCCACTGACACCAACAATGGGGCACTATTCCTCCCCCCCCACTGACACCAATGATGGGGCACTATTCCACCACCCACTGACACCAATGATGGGATACTAGTCCTCCCACTGACACCAATGTTGGGACACTATTCCTCCCACTGACACCAATGATGGGTCACGATTCCTCCCACTGACACCACAGATGGGGCACTATTCCCCCCACTGATACTAATGATGGGGCACTATTCCTGCCACTGATACCAATGATGGGGCACGATTCCTCCCATTGACACCAATGATGGGGTGCTATTCCTCCCACTGACACCAATGATGGGTCACGATTCGTCGCTCTGACACCAATGATGGGGCACTATTCCTCCCACTAATACCAATGATGGGGCACTATTCCTCCCACTAATACCAATGATGGGACACTATTCCTCCCACTAATACCAATGATGGGGCACTATTCCTCCCACTGACACCAATGATGGGACACTATTCCTCCCACTGATACCAATGATGGGACACTATTCCTCCCACTGATACCAATGATGGGGCACTATTCCTCCCACTGACACCAATGATGGGACACTATTCCTCCCACTGATACCAATGATGGGACACTATTCCTCCCACTGACACCAATGATGGGACACTATTCCTCCCA